TTTTAATAAACTTTCGTATTTATGGAATATTCCTTGTAGGGATTCGAGAATAAGTCAATAAGTAATATAGAGTTTATATTTGGTATACACAAAGTGTGTAATAGACTTAACTCCACGTGGTGCACCCTGGGCAACGTATACTCATACGGCTCCACGTGGTGCACCCTGGGCAACGTATACTCATAAGGCACCACGTGGTGCACCCTGGGCAACGTGTACTCATACGGCAAGTAAGTCTATCACGTGGTGCACCCTGGGCAACGTATACTCATACGGCAAACAAACTGGTGCACCCTGGGCAACGTATACACGGCAAAAGAGTCCGTGGTGCACCCTGGGCAACGTATACTCATACAGCAAAAATTCAAAAAACCGTCAGTTGACTTCTGACTTCAAACTACTATGATCCCCCTGTAATGTTTATTCGATCGTTTTCACAGTACTCACCTTACCTTTTTATCTCCCTTTTATGTCTGTCTCCTTTACATCTGTGAAACACACTTCTGTGCCTCCCTCTCGAATTTTTCTCATTTTGATGTTTCTATCTTATGTGAAGCCCTAAGTCAGCTAAAGGGTTGTTGATAAATCATAAAGCCTGCCATTTGACATAAACAAATAAATATTTAGTATACACTAACAATTGGGTGGGCCTTCTTAATATAGCCCTCCCGATCACGATTAAATAAACTCTCCACAATTATGTACTCATATTTTTTCTATTGCATGAATCGGATACATTTGCCCTTAACAGTTAGCAGATTTGAAGTTGTTCTGTTGAGGACTTAAATTCTGATAAAAAGTTTAAATCGATTGCCGCTTTTAATAGTATTTGTCGGAATGAAAAATCCATATTTTAATCAATTGGCATTTATTGACCATTCAATTTACAATGACGTAAAAAGTTTATTTCAGTAAATTGAGCTTTTAATTGAAACACAGTTCTTATTTTCTTTGTGATAATCTATATATTTATCACCTGCGGTCATTTTCAAAAATATTGGAGAATTTTATTCCTGAGAAGCAACTAAAACTGACTAAAATAATGCAGAAAATGAGTGAAAAGTTATCAGAATTATTGCTTCAAAGATTTGGACTTCTCACCTTTTGCTCTTTATTACTTCAGTGTGAGCCAATTTTTATCCACGATAATTAATGCTCATAGTCAGCCGATTTTGTCACTTGAATCACATTTTTCTTCATCAAAGGTTGACGAAATCAACCTACTTGAAAGAAATTGTAATGGTGGGCTTAACTTATCAAGGTAGAGTTGATCGACTATTTTTGTCAGAAATTGCAAAAATTGAAATAAAACTTTGTTTAGGGGTAAATAATTAAAATTCTCCTTTGAATCATTCCTTTTAGTGCCCATGATCATCTGAACAAGAAGCAATGCATTTGTTCATTCAAAATTCACTTAAGTTAGTAAGCCTTTTTTACGGAAATAGATTCACTTTCAATAATACATTTCATAGACTCCAATCAAATGGAGATTTAACTGCTTGAATTACAGATTGAAAAACTTTTGACTGCTATAAATAGCGGGAGAAATAGCATTTTTGCCATAGTGGAAATATACTACAATGAGACGATTATAATTTCTGATCATATTAGGTTGATGTAATTTTTGTTCGCTGTTTAACAATGCATCATGTGTAGTAAGTATGCAATACGTAATGGGTTTACTGAACCTATTAAATTCTTCATAATAAGATGAGATTTTGTACCGTTCCCGATTATGATCTTCTAAAATCAGAAAATTTTCGATATTTCATATATATTTAAATGGCAGGCGTTTTGATAGATATCATTAGCCATTTAGTTGGTGGCAGGCGTTTTGATAGATCGGGCTTCACAGAGGGAAGGTTCATCAAAGAAGCAGAAAACGGGCTTCACAGAAGGAAGGTTCATCAAAGTAGCAGAAATAGGGGTGGGGAACAGAAGAGCGATTCACAGATGTAAAAGAAGGGTGGGGAACAGAAGAGCGATTCACAGATGTAAAAGAGGAAGACAGACACAAAGGTAGAGAAAAAGGTAAGATGAGTACTATGGACAGACACAAAGGTAGAGAAAAAGGTAAGGTGAGTACAGCACAGACACAAAGGTAGAAAAAAGGTGAGGTGAGTACTGTGTACAGACACAAAGGTAGAGAAAAAGGTAAGATGAGTACTGTGTAAGACACAAAGGTAGATGAAAGGTGAGGTGAGTACTGTGAAGTGAGAAAAAGGTAAGGTGAGTACTGTGAAGGGGTCGAATATAACAACCAGGGGGGTCGTGGAAATTTGAAGTCAGAAGACAAATCCTGGTTAATAGACCGTTTTGCCGTATGAGTATACGTTGCCCAGGGTGCACCACGTAGAGGTAAGTCTATCGCACACCCCATATTTCAGATATAAAATTACTTAATTAATACTTATACCTCAGCATAGCTCAGGGCAATTCCAATTGATCAAAATATACAACAACCAAAACTTTCTTTGAACCAAATTTAGATGGGTATTTTTACTTTTTCTCTGAAGCATTTTAGTAAGCACTTCCCTGGGGAATCATTTCGCCTCAGGATTTGCCACAAATAAAGGTCATTAGGCTACAGTAATTCCATGCGATAAAATTATCTTTGTAACTTAATGAACAAGCATCGAATCCGGAGATATTCCAAAGATGGCAGTTTTTTGAAAGAACAGCTATGAGCAATATTCGTTAGAAAATGGTTGAAGACACAGTGTTCAGATTAAAGTCATTCCTAGGCTTTAATCTTAAATTAACTCCTACATTTTGGGATCCATTATTAAACTCCATTGTCAAACTCAGTGAAACTTTAATTGTATTTTTTCATCGATAATATTCATAAACCTTTTCTATTACCTTGAATCAATTATCGCTGTCCCATGTTTCGTCAGCGAATATGAACTCCAGCTTTCAGAAGATCGCGAACTGCTTAACCAGTAACAGTGACCACGAAACTAACGTAATGAGGTGGAATAATGCTAACTTCTCAAATCTATTTAAAGTGACAGGCATTCATGGGTACCAACTCATGAAACCTCTATGTTGCCTCACAAATGCCTGATCTCCAATCCTTTGTTGGCTTCCCGGTGACATCTGTACTCGGACCCAGCAACCAATGCATCCACCGCAAGTTCCACCATTATCACTTCCATTCCCGAAAGATTTGTCTGATAAAGTCTACGAGTTGCAATTAGTTTGTCCAATGCGTAAACTTTGCCCTAACAAGGGACAAATGTTAAACTTCTAACTGCTAGTCATTGTTTAAATCAGTCAATCTTCTCTACTTAATCTGTTTTGACCTTAATAATAGCGAGATTATTTACGTCCTCAAGTCATTCTTTCTAATTTTTTTTATCAAAATGTACATATAATGGCAGTGGTATTTATTTGAAATTTTATATTTTTACCAAAACAATGCATATAAATCATTATGTTTAGTGAGCTATGGTAAAAAACCTTTTTTACTTTAAATGTTATTATGCATATGCTAGACACGAGAAGTTTGTTAATGCAGTAAACTATCTTCGAATTATGAATTTATAATCTTATTTACCTAGTTATACTAGCTATGTTAAATATTTGTGATAAATGGCACAAAACCGAAAGAAATCGTAAGTGATGTCATTTAAAAAAATAGTAAGCCACTAAATCAACGAAAGTCTTCCTCATTTGTCTCCCTGCCTCAACATTCTAACGCACGAATTATTTTATTTTGAGTATTGCACCCAACATCACTCACGCATGTCTCACAGCAGCAGACTGATGCGCCCATGTGATGAGTTTTAGCGGTGTATCAGACGAAGGCTACATGGACACGTATTGGTCGCATTTTTCAAACGGCCATGGCGCCTTCTATTACGAGTCTAGTAATAATGAAGCATATTTTGAAAGAGAACCGTGTGATTGTTGGGGCATCAAAGGTTAAAATATATTAAAACAATTTCTACCTAAATTAAAACTAAATTGCAAACCAAATGAAATGGAAACAATACACCATTCTTTTAAACAGGGAATATTCATTAATTGCTGTGTCTACGTAAAAGGAACAGGTGGGAGTGGCTATTTGACAAATCTGTTGTTTCAAGTTCATCAACTCAATATAGTGGCAGTTCCATTCCATGCCTGGAAATTTATTGGCACAAAAAATACTTCCCATCGAAGACGTTACCAGATATGGACGTGGACAGAGAATTACGACAAATGACCAATTTCCTGGCCTAAAATTCTTGATAAATATTTCATTGATTCCATTCAAGGCCACGTATTTCGTCAAATTGCAAAAGATATTATAAATGCATTTTCCTTTATATAGGCCATCAAATCAAGTATTAAGTGAACACAATTATTTTCATGAGTCATTCTTGATTACTGTATGATCTATTAACTTTTCGTAATGCATCACGCAGTTTTTCTATTTATTTCTTTAATGAAGTGAATAAATGATACTCAAATCTTTGTTAATTCAGATTCATTTAGAACCGTTTAGAACCATCTCATTTATAATTATACTACTTTTTCGTTGTTGAATGAATTTAAGAATGCTGTTGTATTACACAAAATAAGTTGGTTGTAAGCTTCCATTTTATTCCTTTTTTATCCAGATTTAAACACGAATCAATCACATATACCCCTAATCTATAAGAATTCACGAAATGGGCTATAAATATGGTACAGATTTGACATTAAATCCAATTATTCATCAAACTGACTCAATCTGGTGTAGTAAAATGCTTTTCAAACGCCTTCAAGTAGTGGTCCTTAGCTAGTCGTGAATTATCTCAAACATGATCAACGCCATTTTGGAGTTGAATTGCCAGTAGTAGGTTAAACCCACCAAAAGTTTTCAATATTTTCCTCTCTGTCAACTTTCATAGATTATTTTCAGCTGGGTTTTCCTCTACTCTACGGAAAAAGTATTCAACTAAAATAGAGAAAAGACAGGATTGCCATAGAGGAGTCAAATATTTATTTCGTTTAAAATTTGTCCCCGAAAGTTACATAACGGTTAATAGACGATGCACATAGTCTCCTGGTAACAGAGCATGCAATTTTTGGGCAAATAACGGATCAATCTTGACCACATCCTGTGGCATTTCTATGTTCAGGTGCCTACTAACCACATAGGTACAAGATATAAATGCCTGAAGCATTGATTTGGCCTGAACTGGACACTGAAATTGTCGATGACAAATCCGTTTATCTCCAATCATAACTGACCAGATTGCATTCGTATCCGGGTAGGCTGGCTGATATAAATTTAAAAAAATCAATATCTTTTTATGGAAAGGCGAAAAAAATAAAACAATCATCTTACGGGAGCAAATAATGTTACATGTCCTCTTGGTATGGGCAAGATGTCAAGGTAGAGATAGTTTTCATTTCTAGAATGAAAGCGGAACCACATTTGAACAATTGGAAGGTTCAAACAATTTACTATTAGATCGTATTCCGCGTTCCTCCTCTCAGCCATGATGAATCGTTGTTAATTCTTGCATAATTAGTACCTCCTTATATAGGTCTTAAGTTCACTTAATTCAAATATGAAATTTCAAACTTTTGAAAATGATATTCTGTTAATTATTTAAAATGTTTTTCTAAAAGCTAAACACTCTAAAGTCACACTATTTATTAATACTTGAGTAAGACTCATTTAAATCATTAAGCTTTTACCATGACTAACTTTTTTTACAAATTTTTAGGTATGCTTGTAGTAACAAGTTATAGGTGTTAGACTAAGGTATTACAACTAACAGTAGAAATCTTAGTTCAGTTAAAAAGACTATCAAGATTAGATTCAAAGCACCACTGGCCTGAGTAAGACTACTGTTAGTACTTGACCTCATAAAATCATACGATCTTTGCAACTACCTTAAATTCCGAGGTACAAGAATTGTGAAAAAAAGTGGCCTATTAGACGCCAAGAGAAATTGGCCGAGAATTTCGAAGTAGAGCTGGTTAGGCGGCTAAACAGGATTCGGTGAAATTGTATTGTGTGCCTAAGTTTAAAAAGGACTATTTGAGAGGAGTACCTGAATTAACGATTTTTGATTGGTGGCGATTGGGTGAGTCAGTTGGTGCGGAATTGACCAATGAATTAAGTTGCTCTTTCATTACGAATAAAGAAAGTGTTTCAATCATAAATCCTTAGAAATCAAGGAAGAGAGGTGATAGGAGATGGAAGTAAATAAGAAAGCTGGTTACTTTTGGGAGGACCAACAATAGCTGGGTTTTTTGAGAAAAAGCAAAGGTAATTTAAGACAACAAGACAGATGACTTAATTATTGGGTTGGCAACTAAGTCAGTGCCGTTTTTGTTGACGGATTCACTCTATTTTTGTTGACAGATTCACTCTTTACTTTCTTTTGTTTTGTTAGTATTTTTTCTTACTGTATAACAGATTCCAATCTAACAGATTCACTCTACTTCTTTTGTTTTGTTAACGTGGCCAGAGCATCTAACCTATTAAGTCATTGCCGTTTTTGTTGACGGATTCCCTCTATACTTTCTTTTGTTTTGTTAACGTGGCCATCATCTAACCTTTATTTTTTTCTTACTGTATGGGCTTCTAGACATCTAACCTATATTTTTTCTTACTGTATGGGCTTCTAGGTACTCTATGCTTTCTTTTGTTTTGTTAACGTGGCCAGAGCATCTAAGTATATTTTTTTCTTACTGTATGGGCTTCTAGGTTAATTAACAACATCTTTTGTTTTGTTAACGTGGCCAGAGCATCTAACCTATTAAGTCATTGCCGTTTTTGTTGACGGATTCCCTCTATACTTTCCGTTTTGTTAACGTGGCCAGAGCATCTAACCTATATTTTTTAACTGTATGGGCTTCTAGGTTAATTAGTAAAAAATTTCTTTCTGTATGGGCTTCTAGGTTAATTAGTAAAAAATGTTGTTTTGTTTAGTTCTTTAGTTTTGTTTTTATCTTAATATTAAAATAAAGAACAGGACGTGCAATTCCAGGCACATTTTATTGTATAAGGCAAGAACGCATAGCAAGCACAAAAGAAGTTATGTGCTGGCAAGAACGCATCGCAAGCACAAAAGAAGTTATGTGCCGCATATGGAGATGAACCCGCCTTAAAAGAAAGGCAGTGTCGAAATCGGTTTGAAAGATTTCGTTCCGGTGATTTTTCACAAAAAATTTCACAACAATCTGGTCGCCCAGTCGAAGTGGATGAAACCCATATCAAGGCCATTATCAAGGCCATTATCGATTCAAATCGTCACAGCACAACACGAGATATTGCAGAGAAGCTCAATGTGTCGCATACATGCATTGAAAAAAATTAAAAACCCTTGGTTATGTCAAGTAACTTGATTTATGGATCCCTCACCAGTTAAAGGAAATTCATTT